CCTCCTTTGCTTAAAACACATCTCTTTGTTTAAGGTGATGTTATGTAAGACCTTATGTTGTAAATCAGGTAATCTATGAACTCTTAGAAAGTGGTGCTGACAGAGACACTAAAGACAAAGAGAGCGAATTTATACTTGGAATAGTGTCAGACCCAGTAACAATGAATTGATTCCCTCTCTTGGATAAAGGTGTCCAGTGTAATCAACTTGCCATGAGTGGCTGGTTAGTCTCCTCAAGGTACCTTGTTTAGAACTCAGTGTTAATTTCTGCTTCCTACAGGTTGAACATTCAGCAGTAACAGTAACTGGATCAACCTCCCAAATAGGGAGTCCGTGCTGTTGCACCCATGTATAGCTTCCATTCCTGGCACCACATATACTCTGTTCATGGGTCTATTGTCCAAGAAAAAGTTAAAGTCAGAGAGGTTAACTGACTTTCACTGGAAAAGCCATCCTAATTACCAGATTTCTTAGAGTCAAACCATAAAGTGGAAACTTGAAGGGCTATATAAAGGCAAAATATTAAAAAACTGGATAATTCTCAGGAAAAACTGCCTGTATGACCTGTAGAGGATGTTTTCTCTGAGATTAGAAACAAAGAAATGCACTATTTGAACCCAATCTCATAGGTTCATCCACATACGTCTTCCCCAGACTACTTTCACCCTTCCCGTATTACTCTTTCCAGGCTTCTATGACCAACCTAAAACCATGCCTAAGTGGATTCTAATGAAAGAACTCTCCATTTTAAGCTAGTGCCAATATATCCACAGACTCATCTACGAAGCAGGCTTAACTTTCTCTTCTATGAACTGGTCATATAGCACTCCTCCTGAATCCATAGGTGTAAGCTGGGCGAGAGTTATCAGGGCAACACACACAGGTGATGCAGGAGCCCGAGCCACCTATTTGTGTAGCTTGCATCTTCTGGACCAGCTTAGGCTTGGTTCCAAATATACCATTTTCATCATATGATAAATTTTGTTGTTGTACCTGCTATTTCTTATAAATTGGTGGATATCTCACAATACTAAGGTCATGTTAGATGGCCCTGGTTATAATGTCAATTGATTGCACAAGGTCTGGTGCTCAGTCACTGCTTTTCCTAGAACTTATGAGGAGCTACTTTTCAAATAATAAGTGATTATCTGCTTCAGAATAGACAGTTTTGCACTAAGACCATAGGGAATCTGTGTATATCTCTTCTATTTGGACTCACCAGCGGCTCCCCACAGTATATCTTCCACGGATACCGATAGCACCATTGGATCTGCCAGATCAGATGGCTCAAGCACCAGAACAGCTTGTACGACACTCTGTAGGTACTGAAAAGGCCTCCCTTGCTTGAAATTTAACCAAAAATTACCCGGCTTCCATGTCACTCATTAAGTAGTCCAAAGCACTACTGGTAAGTGTGGTATATGCAGAGGCACAAATGGATTTATTAAATAATCATCACTACTTCTGATTCTTTTGAATCTTTGAAAATAGCACTAATCTCTACAATTCTAATGTGAACGTAGTATTGCCTCTCATTTGCTATTTTGGCCCAGAGAAGTAGTTTCAAGAGCTTCCACATGGTTCTTCTATCGTAACAACTCTTATTCCACAGGTAAGAAACTCATTTAGAGGGTTCTAGTAGCTGATACAAATATTCATTCTGATTATGCATTCATGGATCAGAGACATGGATTTGAACTCTATTCTGCTTATTACTTGGCCTCTATTTGCATCCACTCTAATAACAGGACCATGGAAGTATTTAGGACCCTAGTATTAATGTCAGCTCAGACACTGTACACAATGACTCAAAATATCCAGGTATTGCTTTGGTAAATGGGTGCAGGTTTCTTTGGAAAGGGATTGGGGTAATATTTACTGTCAATTCTTATAGAGGTTTTGCAGGAATTCTTTCTGAAGAGGTCCTAGTCTCCCTTTGATTGATGGGCCCAGCGTCTGACAATTGGCTCAGGTCTGGAATCTAGTGCCACAAGGACTATATGTCAGCCACTTGTGCTATATTGAAATCTTACCCTAGCTACTGAGGTTATAACAGGCAAGTAGCTTCTCTAGCTTCAAAAGATAGGAGTCTCCTTAAATGCTGGCATAGAGGCCTTCTGGATTTCACAGCATGCTCTGAAAACACAGTTTGCTAATCTAAGCCTTACATTCTCCTTCTTTAAGAATTCCTGAGCACTTAACAAATGCCAACCAACTCCACTATCCTTTTAATCACATTTGACTTCATATGTTCCAAGTGCTAGCATTCTTGCATAAGCCAGTGCTTGCCATTCCATCTCTACCTAGTCCCAGTACCCCAGCACCAAGGCTCATCACCATCCCACTTACCACCAGCAAAGCGATCCATTTCCATCTCATTTACAGGTGATCCAACTTCAGAATCCAAAGAGAAGAACCTGCTTTCAAGGGTCACATCCAGTACTAACTGCTTTTACTTCAGTTCCCCCCAGAAAGCAGACCGTTAGTGAAGCACTTGGGGTCAAGTAGTTTTGTGAGGTGATTCCACGAAGCACATGTGAGGAGTGGGGAAAGTGAAAAGAGAGAAAAGCCAAAATAAAGCATGTTATTGAGCCAGTTATTATTTGAGCAACTGGAACACAGTTCCACTGGAGAACCCTGGAGAGACCGTGAGAAGATAGATCAGAGGATTGCCCCATGAGAGGACAGTGAGGCTGAGATATTTATCTACTTACTTTGACCCCAATTGTTTGAAGGTTGCCCAGGGGTTTTAACTCCTACCACTTCCAAAAGTTACACTTCACCCCAAACTCTGGCCTTGAAGAGAAAATCCTTGGGCAGAGAAGAAGAGAGCCCCAGAAGATTGAAGGAGAGAGATTTCAGAGTGCCAGGTGGGCCGAGAGGCTATGGAGAGCATCAGGAGCGTTTGCTCCATTCTTGGTGGCTGTAATTTACAAGCTAGGAAGGGGATGAAATTCCTTAAATGGTACACCAAGAATTTGTCATTTCATCCTGAAAGTTATAGAGAGATATGACAGGATAATAGCAGAAGCCTGATAGAATTGGGTTTTCATTGTAGATAAGTCTGTCTCATAGCTGTGTGAAAAGTAATCTGAAAAGGCTAATGCTGAAAGCAAGGAGACTAGATAGGAAGCTTATGTTATTAGCGTGTGTTAGAGATAACAAAGACTTAATCTAGAGTAATGAAAGAATAGGTCTGCCTTCATCGCCAACAAACATAAAGAATCCAGGAACAAGATTATTATCGTTATAGTTAATGGTCAGGTTGAAAGGATAGTACACATTTTCAGGATTACTGGAAGTATACATTTGAAAGAAATTGAGAAAGAAAACATGTCAGGTTTGTTATTGCTCATTGTATCCTTGCATTTTTTAACAGCAGGAGAGAGTCTGATTAAATTACCCAGCAGTGTTTTTTAAATATGCAAACACATCATGTGGGGATCATACTAACAGGCCAATTTTCATTCAATAGATCTGGGGAGGGGTTTGAGAATCCACATTTCTAAGAAGATTCCAGGCAATGCTTATTCTTCTGTTCTGAGATCACATTTTGAGTATCAAGATCACAGACTGTTTTAGAATGGCCCCATCTGTGCTTATCCAAACTTAGATGAGGAATTAAGAACAAATAAGAGTATACTTTGAAGGTTGCTTGGTCCTTATCCATGTTTTATGTACTTATAAAACTATCTATTAGTTAGGGTATACACAGCTGACCAAGGTGATTTCCTGCCAGTCTAATTGATATCAGAGGCCTGTATTAATAAAAATTCCGGGACTCAGAGTGGCTCTGAGGCATTGCAACATTCACAGAATGAGATGTCACAGGTTGAACTGACAATAACAAAACTATTTAAAATACCTCCTGAAAGATCACAAAATGAGGAAAGTTTTTCTCTGGTTATCTCATTGTTTAAATGAATTTACAGAGTATTTTCATGCCAAAATACGTATATACATACATACATCATACATACAAACTCACTGCATGTTAGATCTAAAGCTTGAGAGATTGTATCTACAGTCTCATCAGTGTGGCACACGGAACTTACCTATTTTTAAAAAATGGCCCCCATCTTTTACTTTAAATTTTTTTAACAAAGGAAATTATGTTAGCTCTCCTGGGCAGTTGTTCTTCAATAGTATACTTTTGACTTTGTTGTTTTGCTTAAATGCCTTTTGGTTTCACTAATGACTTTAGAAGTCAAAGAGATTAATCAGGTCGAGTTTGTTTTACTAAGATGCTGTTGGGATTCCCAGTTTTAGATTCCTCTCACTTGATGTATTTAAATCCTTTCCATCATTAAATTCCCAAAGATATATTTAAATAGGGGCATCTCTATCAGCTCTGGAAACTAGGATTTCAAAGATTTACAGCAAGATAGAATTCAGGTGAGACAAAATTGGGAAATGGCTGGATGATTCACCACTAGGAAAGGAAAAGCCAACTGGGAGAATTAGTATAAATGACCTCAAAGGAACCAGTCCCTTGGCTTGGAGTAGCAGAGGCAGGATGTACCCAAGTTCATCCAAAGGGTCAGTTGGCAAAAAGGCAAACCTTAATCCAAATGTGCTTTACTTTAGGAAACATACAAAAAGACAGCAGTTCACAGTGAAGGAGAGCGCTATTCCTAGCTCATATTTGGTGTCCCCGGAGTCCCATGTCTACCTTATTTCTGACATTTAGGAAATAGGGACTCTAATTTCAAGATGACAGACTGAGTACACGCACCAAATGCTCCTACCACCAAATACACACACACACACACGATACACTTAAAAAACAACCAACCAAACAGAAAGAACTATTATTGGGTCATAAACTGGAGTAATTCTCCAAAAAGAACAGAAACAGAGGAAAGCAGCACCCAAGAAATGCACAGGAAACCTCTGTCACAGGAGGTAAGATCAAGAACCTCAATGTTACTCCTGTCAGAGGAGGCAGGGTCCACGACTAGAAGGAAAAAGCAGAGTCAACCAACAGAGCAGTTACTTACTGTAGGTGGAGTCACTTTGTAGTTCTCACTGTTTCCAGACAATAATCAAGTGGGAATTGCAATGCAACTCTGCATATCGAAACCTATGAGATACAGTCAAAACAAGGGAAATGCACTGTCTTAAATGCACTCATTAAAATAGGAGGACAGTTGAAAGTAAATGAATTAAGTTTTTAACAGAAAGGCCTAGGAAAAGAACAGACAAGGTAGAAATTGATATTAACGATTAAAACAGAAATAGATTTAAAAATGCAAGAGTAGTCAGTAATATTTTGAAAAAGAACAAAGAGAATGTAATTACCCTACTAGGTATTAAAATATCCTATAAATCTTAAATATTTAAAACATTGTGGTATCGGCACAATAAAAGATAAATAGATCATGGAAACAAAATAACCATGAAACGCAAAGGCATAAACGAAAAAAATAACACATTAAACTACACAAGGAAAACTCCAACATGTCTAAAAGTATGGTAAAGAGGATTAATTAGTGACTAAAGAGATTGCAATATGTGCAACAGAAGATTAATATTCTTAACATGTCAGAAATTCTTACAAATAGAAACCGTCCAATAGAAAAAATAAGAAAAGGCTATAGACAGGCAATTCCAAAAAAGAAAATACAGTGGCTTTTAAACATAGGAAACATGCTTTATCACAGAAGAAATCTGCAAATGAAAACTAAAACTATGAGGTATAATTTTTTCTTATCAGCTTCGCCACAGCTTAAAGGTTTGACAATTTTTAGTTTTGGCAAAGCAAGGAGGGAGAACTTTTAAACCTCCATGGAGGTTAATATCACTACATCTATTAAGTTTGAAATATACATTTCTTTGACTACGCAATTGCAATATTGGATTGTAGGAAAGAGGCATGCTCCAAATATGCTCATAATATCTTCGTATTGAAAGCAAAAATTTAGAGGAAACCTAAAGTCAAAAACTAGAGAAATAGTTAAATTAACTATGGCATTTAAAAACAATCCAAACTACAAATATTAACAGGGAAATGTCTCTAAAACCACATATTGTTGAGTCAAATGAAGAAGTAATAGAAAAATAAGAACAGTGAGCTACTATATAACATAAATATATAGGCACATAAGTATCTTTATGTGTATGAGTGCATATATCAGTATATACATGAATTTATGTGTATGTGTGTATGTGCATATGTATATATACACACACACACATATAAATTTTTTAAAGGAAGTTAACTGGTAACAGTACACAGAATCTCTTAAATGTTAGCAGTTCTTCTGGCTTACAGTTTATCTGGGAAGATAGTGCCAGAAGTCAGCAATGAAGACCTTAGTTTCTCTACCTTTTCCTGCACTTTTTAGGTAATGTTTTAAAAGGTGTAATTATCTTGATAATTCTTAGTATCATAATGCTGAGGGGATTGGTGGTCTAGGAGCTGTAGTACTTGTATTATTTATTTTAAATATGTGCTTAACTAGGTAAATCATAAATAGAGACCATTTGACTAGAAAAATCTTAGGGAACTTTACTGGCCGATGGAGTCACCTCTTCTCCCATAATATGTAACTCACCCCTGTGCCCCCAACCACGTACACTCCATTGCCCTGGACCACTCTTGACTCCAAGCAAATATTTTGTAAGTGCCAAGTCCTTTCATACCACATCCACTAACTCCTCAATGTAATTCCATGACTTCCTCATAAACAACTGTGTAGCAGAAAGCAGAAGGTGAGAAGAAATTCATCAGTACTAGGGAGAGGCAGTTTGCTACTATGACTTTTCACTTTGGCTCAAGAGATCTGATCTTATTCATTACTATTAAAAATGGGCTCTGAGCGGACTCTTTGGTAGCCCACGCCAAGTTTCAAAAATCTTACATATACAAGGAATATTTGCAAACAATACATATCTACCACCAGCACACCTAAAGCTGTCTTTGCAGAGATCAGTAATGAAATACAAGGTTTGCGGGCATGCCTGACTAACACAGTTGTGCTAACTGGCTGGTAAGTCAAAGACACCATGACTGGCTATTTTTCCTAGCAGTGAAAGAGAGGACTTCTTGTCAATTAACCTCAGAGTTCTGAAAGATTGTTGATATTATTACTTAAAGACATATTGGTGACTATTTACATATAGTGAGTTAAGGAAGGTCTTTCTAAGTGTGGGGGACTGGCATTGGCCACCCCAACATATGTCTCTTTGGCATGAGGATTATTTGGGGCTGGTTACTTTTAATAAACTGCAGACAGGAAAGGAACTCTGAGAAGCAGAGTTTACTTATCCTTTGTTAAGAGACATTTACATTGTAAAGGAAATCTCCAACTGTAAAAGTGTCTCCCTCTCTGTACCAGGAAGAAGGGGGGATGAACTTATCTCTAGAAACTCTTAATCAACGCCAAAGGCAAGGACTTAAATCTGCATTTGTTTACTGTACTTGTGTGGTAATCTCCCATGATTAACTTCCCTCCACCCCCAGCATCCTCCTTTGTCTTTAGCTAAAGATGATATTTAAGGTGGGGGCTTCAGCCATTTTGGCAGTTGCTCAGCTTGCCTGAGCCTCTCCCATGTATATGTGTTATAAAGCTTTGTTTAATTTTCTCCTGTTATTCTGTCTCATGTGAATTTAATTCATTCTCCCACCAAAAGAACCCACAGTGGGTAGAGGAAATGTCTTCCTCCCCTACATAAGCATTAAGCCAAAAGCAGAAACTAAGTGAATACATTTGACTACACAAAAATCAAATATTTTCACAACAAAAAAGAAAAAACTCAGTCTATTAAAAATCACAAAACATCCCCTAATCTTGATTTGTGAGTACCATTCTTCAGTAAAAGCAATCACAGCTCCTTGTAAAAATAGCTGATTCTAGTGCTGGAGCAAGGAATAATATGAGACTAGCCTGGAGCATCTGGTTGTGCCAGAAAGCAAGGAAGTGTTTAAAAATGGGAGAAAACATGGGGGTATGTCAAAAGGTCAAAGAAGTCAACTTCAATAGTTCCCAACGGCTAATGCTAGAATAATTTGAACACTTTAATAAATAACTGTATCATTGGATTATAACTGAAAGAATATAATAAATATCCATAAGTCCATATTGGCATAAGTAAATGATTCAATAAATAAATGGAAGGAAAAGGGATAAGTTTTCCTTACAGAAGATCTACCATTAACAACTGTAGAAGGAATGAAGGAAGTAGAAAATCACCATTAGAATGCCACAGAAATAATTTATGCAGGCAAAATCAACTGATGAATGCTAAAATTAACTGGAAAACTTTAAGGCAATTGGCATAGATTCAAAGTAGCTTCCCCCAAATACATTAATTACCGTGGCGATTTTAACGTATGACCACAAACTGTTTGATATCTTCCCTCCCGATCGTGAAGTTTAATTCTCCTCTCCTTGAGTGTGAGCCAGACATAGTGATTCCCTTCTAACTCATAGAGTATTGAAATGGAAAAATTATAACTTTGCAGTGGAGAATCCTGTCAAATATGACCTTAATCAAGGTCAACATTATCAGTAATAAGTCGTGTTGATATCATGTGCTAGCTGACATGATGTGATGAGAATGAGTCTTGAAAGTTGGAACGTTCCAGGGCCGGACTGTGGCCAAGTGGTTAAGTTTGTGTGCCCAGGGTGGCCCAGGTTTTTGCCTGTTCAGATCCTGGGTGCCGACATGGCACTGCTCATCAGGCCATGCTGAGGCGGGGTCCCATATGGCACAGCCAGAAGCACTCAAAACTGGTATATACAACTATGTACTGGGGGGCTTTGGGAAGAAGAGGAAGAAGAAGAAAAGGAAAAAATATTGGCAACAAATGTTAGCTCAGGTGCCAATCTTTAAACAAACAAAGAAAAAGGTTAGAAGATTGGGTCTTAATCTATCTCTAACATGAAGTAAAGAGAAGAGTTAGAGACAACTGCAGTAGTCTACATGAGAAATTATTGACCCCGAACAAGAAACTTAACCTCTCTATGTAAGTCTATAAAATGGAAATAATGTTATTTTACTGTTACAGAATTTTGCATGAATAATGCATAGAATTAGGTATCAGGGTGATCTAATAAACAGGTATTTAATATGCACTTCCTGTTTGCAAAAACAAAAGAAAACAAAAACACTTAAATGAGATAACCTATATTAAGGTCATGTGTGTGTGTGTGTGTGTTTCTGTGTTGAGATTAGTGGAGTAGGAGGTGGGAGGGAGAAGCAGAAATTAAGTAAGCATAATCCTCCAGGACACTCCCAGCTCCATATACACATATGTGCACCATGGGGAATGATTCAATAGTGTGTTATACTGTCCCTCAGCCCCTCTGGTTATGTAGTTTCAAGATACTTATATACTTAGAATTCCCTCTTCTATTAGATTGAAGGAGATATATGACAGTATACCTATAGGTTAAAAAACAGATATAATTCCTAATTATCCATTTAAATATTGACCTTCTTTCTGTGTGGCCACCCGTTGCCTTATGAAGTCTTGGATCCAGTCACATTCTGATAAACTGTCTTAGGCGGGTCAAAGCCTGCCCTGAGAAAAATGTATTTCTAGTGCCATAAACCGTCCTGTTTAGGCGCAACTTTGGTAATATTACTCCCTCTCCTTAATCTAGACTTATCCTCCCTCTTTCTAGAAATACATCTTTATGACTTTTGTCTATATATTTTATTATCACTCTAATTGGTTTTTCCAACTTGGCAAAATCTTTCACATTGTATGATAAAGCAGCTTTTCCGTGAGGCTCAGCTTTAATATACAAGCCACCGAGGGAACACTTACTATTAGCCACATGTCAAATGGAAGAATCCTAATATATTATAAAATGCAGCCAGACAAAATGCTGATGTTCAGAGAAAGAAAGCTGGAGAATAAGGGAGAGCATGTATTGCAAAATAAAAAAAAAATAATCAAAATAATCACTGGTTATCCTCCCAAGGGAAGCCTTTGAAGTCTTCTGTTGCTAATTCTCTACTGAAACATCTCTATCTTCTTTCATTAAAGGTTCATTTACAACAAAATAATGTAAAAAAATAATTTAGATATTCATCATTTAAGGTAGGACGATTTACCTTGGTACCTCTAAT